CCAGAATTCCTCAGCCAGGCACAATGGCTGAGGAATTCTGGGAGTTGGAGTCCACAGGTCATAAAAGGGCCAAGTTTGAAGACCCATGATCTATGCCAGGGCTTTTCAACCAGTGGTACGGGTGCCACCTGTGATACATTGGCACCAGGCAGGTGGTACGCGACCATCCTAGAAAAATGGTAGCGGGGAGGGGAATGAGCTGAACTGGTGGCAGCACCGCACAAGCTTGAGTGAGAGATGGCTGGAGCTGCAGGGCTATCAGGGCTCAGCAGAAGCGCCAGGATCAGTGCCGCTTTTCAGCTGATCGGCGCTTCTTCAGGGCTGTCAGGGCTCAGTGGAAGCACCAGGATCAGTGCCAGGCTCCAGCTGGAGCTCGGCGCTGATCCTGGTGCTTCTGATGAGCCCTGAAGAAGCACCAATCAGCTGGAATGTTGCAGCATCTCCAGGGTCTTGTGATTTACATTCAGATGTTTGGCAACTGATTCATATTTATGACGGTCACAGTGTCCCAGGGACATGTGAAGTGACCAAAACCTGCCGCAACCACCCAGCAGACGGGGGGGGGATAAAAAACAAACACCCCCCCACCCCACCCCCGCTGTCAATCCTCAACAGAAATGCTCACAACAATGAAAACCTCGGACAGGAGGAAGAGCGCCGCCGGGCGGGCAGGCAAGTGTCTTGCTCGGCTGTGGCTTGGGGGCACTTTTTTCAGTGCCACTGTAACTTTGAACAGTCACTAAGCGAACTGTTGTAAGTTGAGGACTAACTATCACTTTCTTCCTTTTTTTGGGGGGGGGGTCAATTTTTTGACACCTTGCTAGGCGACTGGTGGTACTCAGATGTTGCCATATCCTAAAAGTGGTGCAATGGGTGAAAAGGTTGAAAAGCCCTGATCTATGCAGTACACTGGCTTGACACAGAATGATGGATTAAATCAAGGTGGTCAACATATGCCCCCTGCCCCCTTTTTATATAGTCCTTGTACTTATTAAATCTACTGGCATCTACACCTGAGATCTACCTGAGGCAGGCAAGTCTTCTCTGGGAAATGGGATTAAGGGCTCCTGCGTCTCTTCCAGGCGGTTAATAGAATATTGAAAGCTCCTTCCCCCTTTTTCCATTCCTACCAACTCAAGACTTCATCTCCTCCTCCTTTTATTCTGCAAAAAAAACGTAGGGCAGAGAAGTCTTGGGAAGTAGGTCAGAGTCTCCACAGATTCAGGCTGGGGAATCCAGTACAGTGCAAGTTGCTCAAGGAGATGGGGGGGGGGAGTGGGAGAGGAAGGGGGAGGAGAAGAGGAAAAAGCCGGGCAATGAAAAAAATGACAGAGACAGGATGTTTTTGGCTCGCTGATTCACAGCTTCTAGTGTGGGTGGAGGTGGGCTAACTGTCTTGTGGAAGAGACATCTGGAGACACTACGTAAAGTCCCACGCAGTGTACTGTGTAAAAAACACAGTCGAGAAAACCTTCCCCCCTTAAAAATTGGTGGTGTTGGAAGTCATGTAAGACCGCGCACCTGAGGTCAAGACATCATTCTCCTTTGATAGCTTAAATAAAAGAAGGCGGAGTGTTTTTAGACCATGTTTCTCAAACTTGGTGACTTTAGGGTGGGTGGACTTCCAATCCTAGCATAGCTGGCTGGGGATTTCTGGGAGTTAACAGCCACCCGTCTTAAGGCTGAGGAAGATCAAGAGAGAAAGAGAAAGGGAGGGGGGAACTGGTCTGATTATTTGCATCTACATTTAGGCAAGAAAAACCAAATGCACAGGTGCAGTATAGGTGGTATCTCACTCAATAGTAGTAACTGTGAGAGGGATCTCGGAGTCCTAGTGGACAATCACTTAAATATGAGCCAGCCGTGTGCTGCAGCTGCCAAAAAGGCCAACACAGTGCTAGGCTGCATTAACAGAGGGATAGAATCAAGATCACGTGAAGTATTAATACCACTTTACAATGCCTTGGTAAGGCCACACTTGGAATACTGCATCCAGTTTGGTCACCACGATGGAAAAAAGATGTTGAGAGTCTAGAAAGAGTACAGAGAAGAGCAACAAAGATGATCGGGGACTGGAGGCTAAATCACATAAGGAAAGGCTGCTGGAATTGGGTATGTCTAGTTTAACAAAGAGAAGGATGAGGGGGGACATGATAGCAGTGTTCCAATATCTCAGGGGCTGCCCCAAAGAAGAGGGAGTCAAGCTATTCTCCAAAACGCCTGAAGGCAGGACAAGAAGCAACGGATGGAAACTACTCAAGGAGAGAAGCAACCTAGAACTAAGGAGAAAATTCCTGACAGTGAGAACAATTAACCAGTGGAACAACCTGCCTCCAGAAGCGGTGAATGCTCCAACACTGGAGGTTTTTAAGAAGAGACTGGACAGCCATTTGTCTGAAATGGTATAGGGTTTCCTGCCTGAGTAGGGGGTTGGACTAGATGACCTCCAAGGTCCCTTCCAACTTTATTATTATTATTATTATTATTATTATTATTATTATTATTATTATTATTATTATTATTATTATTATTATTATTATTATTATTATTATTATTATTATTATCTCCATGACATTAATACAAATACAGAGAACAAAGAGCTTTGATATGGACTGACATCTTATTGTCCATCAGCTCATCTCACACAAGGAGTAGTAGGTAACAACAGGGGCCATGTTCAGATGAGGAGGGAGGGAGGGAGAGAAGGAAGGAAGGAAGGAAGGAAGGAAGGAAGGAAGGAAGGAAGGAAGGAAGGAAGGAAGGAAGGAGCCACCGGGAAAAGAAACAAGGTTCAAATGAATTCATTGTTTAGGGCTGAACAGAATGAGAAAACTGGGTTTTGTGTGTTTAAATAATGAAGTGTCTGATCCATTAGAAAGACAGGAGAAAAGGACACCACAGGCCATGGAGATATTGATTGGTGAAATGAACAGGTTTTGCTGAGATGAAGAAGCTAACTTCTTTGATTAGAGAAAAGACAATACCTACATTTATTGGTGACTGGAACGCTCTTATGGACTTTTTACACAAAATTTTAAAAAAACAAACTTCCAATTTATGGCTAGGTGGACAGGCAGGATAGATTACAGAAAAAAGAGAATCATGATGTAACTTTGGAGAGGAGGGTTAACTATTATTGTACTTATCACTGCCGTGAAAAGTTTCAGAAGTAATTTCTTAGTATCTTTTTTCTTCAATTCACCCTAGAGATCCTCCTACTCTAGGTGAGGATCCTTTTTGTGGATCCTTCTCCAATAATGCCAAGCTGTAAGACAGTGTGTTTCCCAACTTTGGGAACTTTAAAGGTGTGCGGACTTCAACTCCCAGCATTCCCCAGCCAGTTGCTCTAAGCCAGAGGTAGGCAACCTTGGCTCTTTTATGACTCGTGGACTTCAACTCCCAGAATTCCTGAGCCAGTTATGCTGGCTCAGGAATTCTGGGAGTTGAAGTCCACAAGTCATAAAAGAGCCAAGGTTGCCTACCCCTGCTCTAAGCGAAAGTTTCTCACACCATATTAAACTATAAACCAGCCACATCACAGCTTGGCAGTATGCACAAACCACCCTATGTTGTTGGGGGGAGGGGGGAAACAAAGAAGACAGAAAAATTACAGAAAGGGGGTTGCAGACTAAATGGATAAACTAAAAGCTCCACTAAGCATCATATAATAGTGGTGCTCATAGGGGCTGAGGGAATTGTATTCCCCCAGACATGGGAAATGGTCTCATTCTGAAGAGTATTAAAATCAAGGCCAGGTAAATTTATGTTGCACTTGACAGAGTTATTAGCCATTTTGTAAGTCATTGCTGGCTGCTATTAATGCATTATAGGCAGGTAATCGTGCATTTAGCCACAGAGCTATCTTTTATTTAAACCGAGGCAAGACGCTGCGCTGAAACCTTAGTAGAAGAGGTGAGGGGGGGGGAAGGCTAAATCAGAAAACAGAAACCAGGGGCATAAAAAGATGCTGGGTTTAGACCTTCCAACCCACAGAAAAGAACAGGATAACGGGGTTAAGGAGAAAGCTCATAAAGATAGTCCACAACTTACAACAGTTCCTTTAGTGACCGTTCAAAGTTACAACGGCACTAAAAAAAATATGACATGACCGTTTTTCACATTTACGACCGTTGCAGCATCCCCAAGGTCAGGTGATCAAAATTTGGATGCTTGGCAACTGACTCATATTTATGATGGTTGCAGTGTCCCGGGGTCATGCGTGTGACCACATGCGTGTGACCACATGCGTGTGACCACATGCGTGTGACCACATCCCACTGATGTGGTCTTTCAACAGTGCAGGGAATCAGGGCTGGGATGACAAAGTCAAGTAAGTTTAGAATACTGGTTCAGTTCATACATGCAAAGGTTTACAGACTCAGAAGCTTCAAACTTAATTAACCAAACTAATTAACCAACATGTCAAGGTAATGGTTTAGAAGCTAACCAGCTGATGTAATGTATGATGTAATGATGCATGACTCAGCAGGGTTTATGTCCCTTTAAGAGCCAGCTGGGTCTGTGTCCCTTTAAGAGCTTTGTATAAAAGGGAAGGCTCTGCTGCTGTGTTCTCTCTCTTTTGTTTCCTGCTGTAACTGCTGTGTGTTGGAGATTGCTGTATTAACACATGTATGCAGGGCTTTTTTTTGTCATAGAACGCCCAGAACGAAGTTCCGGCACCTTTTTTGGATGGAGCCTTGTAGGGTAGGCAAGGCGGGTTGTATGACATGTGTGAGTTCCGGCACCTTTTTTTTTTTTTTACAAAAAAACCCACTGCGTGTATGTATATTGTTCCTGGTGTATGATACTGTAGATAGTGTAAGATAAACCACCATTTAATATAGACCACTGTTTACTGTGTTTACTCCTGGGTTATCTCAGCACAATAAGACTGGGCATGCTCTGACACAACAGGAAAACCTTCCTGCAAAACTCCAGCTGGGAAAATCTCAGGCTCACACCTACCACACGCGATTTTGGTGTCACCGGCAGAAGCTCACCTTAGCGTTGCGTTGTCCCCTTGGCAAACTGTGTAATTGTCAGCTGGCTGACTGAAATCTGCACCTCGAACCAGCAGTCCTGTGCAGCCAAAGACACAAAATGAGAAGACAGCATGAATGTCGGGTTGTGAAGAACTGCTCTCTCCCCCCCCCCCCCAGATGGCAAAAGCAGAACCCATTGGTTTCACAAAGGGAATTTTCACCTGAGGTAAAAGTCAGCAAACTTGGGTAGTTGCAGAGAAAAGTTATCATTCCTGTTTTCATCTGGCCTAGAGGTTAATACATCTGCTTAACATGCAGACAGCCCAGGTTCGAATCTCAGAAGGGTATGTCTGGTTGAAAAGAACTAAAAAGTTCGAAATGGCTATTCCAGTTCTCCCTTAATTCTTTGTTAGCAATCCAAATTTTGAATATATATATATATATTCTGGAATTGAGCGTTGCTGGAATTGATCACCACAGAAAGATAACCTCTTTATCTGTTTATGTTTAGTCAAAAATATCACTTATTTTTTTATAATTAGTCAATATTCCACTGAATTCTTCAGCAATATATAGCCTAGTTGAGATGAGAAGGGA